TTCCATTCTCATAATTCGATAATTGCGACATCTACCCTTTGAGCTATGAATTATTTTGGGATTGAAAGAATATTTAAAATTATTTTCTCCCGATAGATGACTCGATAGTGGAAGAGGCCGCTATTTTAATCAAATTATGTAATATAGTTTTGCATCATTATCAGGACAGTCATTATATATAGGAAAATATTTATTTAGCTATAGTATTCTATACGGAGTACGTCACTGTATTGAGCTTTTAAAAATATTTTGAGTTTCCACAAATATTTTTAATTTTAACCGACTACGTTAAATCCCAAACGAAGGCTATAGTTTAGCAATTAATTTATTTTTCTCGTCATCATCATTACAGCCCTTCACAAGTCCAATGCTGTACATAGGCCTCCCCTAAGGTATGCTACAAAGCACGTTCCTGAGCCACCTGCATCCATGGACTTCCTGCATGTCTTATCAGGTCGTCACTCCATCTAATGGGGGGTCGCCTTACAATTCGCCTACTAGAACGAGGCTGCCACTCGAGAACCTTTTTTCCCCAACGGTTCTTCGAGTTACATGGCCGGCCCATTGTAACTTCAACTTACTAATCCGTTGGGCTATGTCGGTCACTCTGATTCTACTGCCGATATCCTCATTTCTAAGTTTATCACGCAGAGAAACCCCGAGCATAGTCCTCTCCATAGCTTGCTGAGCGACCTTGAGGGTCCCCATACGGCCAGCAGTGAAGGACCACGTCTCAGTTCCATAGATCATCACTGGCAACACGCACTGGTTGTATCTGTGGCCGGAGTAGGAAAAGGGGAGATCTCCCGCCGGGCAAGGTGTTCTGCCCGGGGAGCGGCCGACACTCCAAGTGATAGTTCAGAGATGTTCTATATATGCTGTTTATGATTCGGAATGTTGATAGTGTGATTTAGGCTTCGATGTATTTTGCTTGTGGCGCGACGCCAGCGCCGCCACATCACCCCCCTGCTCAGACCGGAGGTCGATAGTGCAGTTGAGTTGTCGACGAATGTGCAAGTGCCAGGAGATTGCCTTGTAGTCTGCGGTGAGTCGAGAAGAAGGCAAGTAATCTGCGAGAGTGCCGTAAGGCAGAGGCGAGCAGTAAGGCTCAGAGCCGTGCCGAACACTGTGGCGTAGAGAGTAGCTTGAAGGAACAGGAAGCATTATTATTCCAGTGCTGCGATGAACCTTGTGAAGCTAGATGGCTTGCAGGATATGAAGACTGCAGACGATATCTGCTCGGGAGCGAATGGGTGGGGTATTCTATGACGATGATGAAAGCTTGAAGTTTCCGAAGGTTGTTGGTTGCATGTTCAGATCACGTCGGGGTCACCACTGTGGCCGGAGTAGGAAAAGGGGGAGATCTCCCGCCGGGCAAGGTGTTCTGCCCGGGGAGCGGCCGACACTCCAAGTGATAGTTCAGAGATGTTCTATATATGCTGTTTATGATTCGGAATGTTGATAGCGTGATTTAGGCTTCGATGTATTTTGCTTGTGGCGCGACGCCAGCGCCGCCACATATCGTTTTCAGGTTTTGAGGTGTAGTTGACGAGAAGATGTGTCGTAATTTCCCCAACGCTGCCCAGCCGAGTTGAAACCGTCGATTGACTGTCGAAGTTGAACTTACCTAGTCGGACTATTTGTCTCAGGTAAACGTACTCGTCAACAACTTCGAACTTAGCGCTCCCAACAACTACCGGCCTAGAGTAGACATTAAACATGATCTTTGTTTTGTCCATGTTCATTTTAAGACCTATCCGTTGGGAGATACTATTGAGGTCATCGAGCATAGTGCTTATGTCCTCCAGCGATTCTGCCATAAGGACTATATCGTCGGCAAAACGAAGGTGAGTGATGTACTCGCCATTGATGTTAACCTTTACCCTATCCTTTCCAGTCCAGTAGCTTGAAAACGTCTTCCAATGTAGCGGTGAAGAGTTTCGGGGATATAACGTCACCCTGTCTTACACCTCTCTGCAGTTGGATAGGTTTCATACTCTGGTTATGTATTAATCAAAAATATTTCTTTTTTTAGAGTTCCGTAGTCAACTAGGAACCCTTATAGTTTCGCCATGTCTGTCTGTCCTTTTGTCGTCCTCGCTTAATCTCTGTGACCATTAGCACTAGAAAGCTGAAATTTGGTACCAATATGTGTATCGATCACGCCGACCAAGTGGTAAAATAAAAATTGGAAAAAAATGTTTTATTAGGGTAGCCCCCCTATATGTAAAGTGGCAAGTGATTTTTTTTTAATTTCAACCCTAACGTGTGATATATTGTTGGAAAGGTATTTAAAAATGAATAGGGGTTTACTAAAATCATTTTTTGATAATGTCAATAATTTCGGAAATAATCGCTCCAAAAGTAAAAAACAATGTGTGTCCCCCCCTCTAACTTTTGAACCATAAGTTTAGAAAATATGAAAAAAAAATCTGAAAAGTAGAACTTTATAAGGACTTTCTAGGAAAATCATTTTGAACTTGGATGGAAACAACAGTACCCATCTACCGGGAGCGGTTGCAGGAGCGCGGATCGCTGCTGGAGCGCGAACATAATGGATACCCACCTTTAAACTCATAAGTGGGAACAATTATTGTGACGGACGGGAAACTATGGAACCATACACTGAGCGTGGCCCGACACGCTCTTGGCCGGTTTTTTATTTATTTATAAAGTAATTTAAAGAACAACCTGTACGCACTTGCGCTATGACAGAAAACCGACTCCGGCACATCACTGCTAATAATGTGTACGGGCAGCGGACGGCCGCTTAATTTGTACGTCGCTGTATTATGGTTGTGTATGGTCGGCTCGAACGGGGAAGGACGTCGCTCTCACACAATACCAACGTAAAATAGGGCTTAATACTACTTTTGTGTAATGAGTGTAGTTTCTGATGATGTTAATGCTGTTAGCCTTTTGGCTTTTATAGGTTCATATGTCTCAGGACCCGCGGCCTGTGAAACGTGAATTTAAATCATTCCGCATCGTTACTTGCGTAACGATGACTCCTATGACAGTGTACAGTGCACGTGGATGAGTTCTCTAACAGCCGTCCGTATAGAGGGTGGCGGGTCCCGGCTCTGACGGCTAACCCGTGTCGCTCGATGTTCTGGGCGGTGAGAACTGGCCAGGGACGTGGTGTACGGTGTGTACGCGGTGTCACAGAATAAAAATTAAGTACTACGTAGCGGTGTGGACCCATCTGCGGAGCCCGCATAGCCACTAAAATGTCACTCACGTCAATTCACACGTGTAAATGTCAACACGAGATGTGTTTTGACGTTACAATCGTTTACAAATTTCGCATGCAAATTTAAAAATTTAGAAAATGCCAAATTGCACCCTATTTACAAATAAATATGTATTAAAATTTAAACGATTTTCTTAATGATGATCTTGAACGTTTATCAAAAGTCTAAAATGTGTAAATTTATTCAGTCTGTCAACACAGCGAATCGGGTTTGGCGACACTCTTCCCCGTACAAAATAAAGTTGACAGCCTTTCTATTGTGTATATATTGTGTGTATATTCTATGGTCCTATCGGTGTTTGTGTCACTAGGTGCATGTGTAGTGTCTATGTGTAATCTAACGGAACCGGAGGCCCTTTGAACTGGAAACGAGGCATTCCATCTTAGTGCATAGGGTCAGCCACGCATTACATTTTTTTCTTAATCGAGGATAGAAATCGGCCACAGTGCACCTGGTGGTAAGCATTCACTTGGTGGACTGTGCGATCATTTGTCACCCTCATTTAATTAAAAAATAGCTTTAGTAACTTTAATTATTATATGCTAAAACTTTCATTATATGTATTTACCTGACCTAACCTGAATATTGACAAAGCTTCCAAACACCAATACAGCTGGAATCTAACAGCGTTAGATTTATAATCATTAGTTGAAGATGATATCACGAGAGGAATGATAATATCATTAAAAAACGGTATCATTGCTGAATTAGATTTAGTTAATATAAATATTGATACATAAACATACATAGAGCAATGCAAACACGATTGTATTAATATGAATATCTCTTTATTTCCTTACTATAAACTTTAGACAGGAGGTATTTGTCACTTATATTATCTATTTTCTAATTTTAGCTACAAATACATTTAGGAAGAGTTACTTTAAATCACTTGAGGGAAAGTTACAACAGGCTGGAATTGGAGTCATTGGCATCCTTAAAAAAAAAGAAAAATACTGATGATATTTAGATTAAAAATACTTTAAAACATACAAGCCAATAATTCAATCAAATATAAAAAATATACTCGTAAATAATAAGAACAATACATAAGTCAGTAATTTTTTACTTGTTTTTGTAATTTTTTTTCTGCTTCGTTACTAATAAAATTTACTTTAATTTTTTTTTAATATGAATAGAATAACTGGTTCAATGAACGCCAGTGACTTCAATTACACTCTGAGGAAATTAAAAGTTTGGGAATTATCTTCGAACGTGTAGATTAATTTAATATGTACTATAAAATTCAAGCCACAGTGTCGCAAATTGAAGAGGATCAAAGCTTACATTAATACAGTTGATGTTGTAATACTGATTTAAAGAATACTGATGAAGCGGTTCCGAAGCTTCAAACGGAGAATTTAATAACACCTAAAGTTTTAAAGATAAATACATGCTCTCTATTAACATTTATATTTTATTACTACTTTTAAAAGAAGTCAACTAATTTATACAATATAATAATCCTATCTATTTTTTAAATATTCGGATTAAAATAGGCCCTTTCGCAATATAAGATGAAAATAAACTATTGATAAACTGAAGTTTTTTTTAATAATTTGTTTAATAGTATTGAATAACTTTGGTATTGAATGACTAAGAAGAAATTTATGTTCTGATACGACAGTTAGCTAGATATATTTTTAGCCAAATTGGAAATGCTTGAGAAGTTACGTAACTAAATAATTATGATAAGACGGAAATTCGTAGCAATATGCCAGTAGAATTTAAGGTTGTTGTGACGTCTTAGTGGGCATCACGACGCCTCCTGCCAGGGCCACCGGCGTAGTTGGCGGCCGCGAGTCCCATGAGGTGCTTGGCTTGGAGAGCGCCGGAGTATCCACGGCTGAGACCCAGGTCCAGAGCTCGCTTCTCGCTGTTGAAAAATAACAATGGACATTTAAATTGTGCGAACCGTGCAGTGGCCGTGTAACAGTATCCACAACCCCATATCGTCCCATCGGTGACGTAAGAGGCGACAGAGGGTAACAAATCAGGCGATGGGCAGCAACGTCGTATTAGTAGCAACTAAAAAAATTGCGGTTGCCAACCGATCTGCCAAGCCTGGCACTATGGCAAATATCCCTCTCAAGAAGTAATATACGGGGAGGCCTGTGTTCAGCATTGGACTTTGATAGGCTGTTATGGATTAAGTTAAAAGTTTTACGTTATATACGTCTCACAGCTGGGCACAGGCCGCCTCTCATTTCTCAAAGGGTTTTAGGGCAAGGAAATGTCCACCGTGCTGCCCTGCGTGTTGGCGGACTCCACATGCCTTCGTACTATTTTCTCCTTATATCTCAGACATGCCTCGCGATGTTTATCAGCACTTAAAATTGTAATTAACAATTCCATTGGTGCCGGCGGGAACTGAACCCGGGTTGCTCGCGTACTGTGAAGCTTACAGAGAGCGCTTAGCGCCTGAGCTACCACGCCAAACACTGTATTGGATGAATGAGTGTAATGAAATTGTAAACGTAAATTTCCTCTAATTTTATAAATAACGAAAGGTTGCCCTTTTGAAAATCCAAATAGCTTTAATAAATATTCGATGCCTTTTCTTGAAAGCATTGTTTTAATACATAATAATCGTGCTTTGATAATGGTGATTACCGTGAAGTGGCGGTGGAAAAATATCTAATATCACTACCCCATATCGTCGTATGGGTGTCCCAAGAGGCGACAGAGGAAAACTGAAACATGAGATGGAAAGCAGCATCTACCTGATAAGAACTCATACCAAATAATTTAAAAAAAACTTCGGTTGTAGTGCCAACCCGCCTGCCAAGCGTCACTACAAGGGCAAAATCCCCCTATGATTCAATTTGTGGCGGAGGCATATTCTCAGCAGTGGACTTTTATAGGCCGTAATGTTAAAGTTAATGTATAATCTTACATAGCTCTAATATTTAAATAAGAGTAAATTATACCTTTTGACATTTTTATTGTCTTTCATAGCGTGCCGTGGCGAAATAAATTACCACGTTTCTAATTTCTTAATGGTTCTAAGGGACAATATTTGCGAAACGAACTGAGGCTTGGCCATGTTTAAAGATTGCGACACCTCTTCTTGTCTAGTATCGCAAAGCGTACACATTTGTTATACAAAAAAAAAAAAACAAATGAATTGAGTAAGATATCCGAAGAATAATAAAACTAACCGACGTAGACCAAAGGGTTAGTGCGCTAAAGTTCCAATGTTCCAAATAAAAACCGGTTATATCAAGAACTGAAAATCGATGGGAAAGAAAGGTTCTCGAGTGGCAGTCTCATACCGAAAGTAGAGTGTAGGGTGGTTCACCATACTACAGTGGACTAGATGTATGGACGACCTGGTAAGTCATACGGGAAGTCGATTAATGCAGTTGGCTCAGAACCGTGCTCTAAGTCATTATTTGGAAGAAGGATGTTCAACAGTGGACTTATAGGGGGCTGAAATAGTGATGATGATGATAACAAAAGAGGTAAACAAGCGTGTATTTTTATTGTCTGGCAGTGATAATTTACGTAACTTAGACGATAGACGTCGATGGAGCCCAACTATTTTAAATAATATCTAAACACTGCACAAAAAATATTTATTTCTATTTTTAATTCATTTTATTGTAAATTCTCAGATGCTATTATAAAGAAGAGGAGGGATTTGACGTTTCCTATCCGGCAAGTAATAAAATTATTTACTTAAAGAACCTAAACTAACTTTATAAATTTGAAGTATGCAGAGATTTTATGTAAATGTGAACCCCTATTCATTCATCTTCATTCAATACAGACTATCAAAAATCCACTGCTAATCATAAGCCTTTGCCATACATTGCATCAGAGCGTGGATATTATTCAAAGTTACCATGTTTGGTATTGGGACTGGCAAATTATTTTAACACTACAATTCAATACAACACAATATCTTTATTTTAAGTTGTTATCATTTATAACTATATCAATGTAATAGTTGCTATTTATAATCTCGATATGATATAAATTTGAGACAAAAATATGCACGTGTGTGTTTAGTAGAATGTTAGAAAATAATGACCACGCATAGTTTAATGTTATGTAATGTCGGTAAGCATGCCTTCGAACAATCGTGCATAACCCGGGTAAATGATATTTTCATCGCTCATACAGTTTGGAATTCCTCAGCAAATTGTGGTTGAGTATTACGAAATGAACGCGGATAATTCACGTACGTAAGTTATAGCCTTAGGTATACTTCCCGCTCCTGGACTGGCCTCCTCTCATATATGAGAAGAAAGTGTCCGCGATGCACAAGTGCAAGCTTGTTGGAATTCACATGTATTCGAAAATAATTTTTTAATTTCTCATATACAGGTTTTCTTTTCGATGTTTTCCTTCACCACCGATCACGTGATAAATTAGCACTTAAGTGCAATTAACAATTTAATTGATGCCAGCGTAAACCCTACCCGGGTTGTGCTTGTGTACAATGAAATTTACATCGAGGGCTTAGTCCTTCAGCTATCGATATCTACATTTAAATATAGTCACTAGTGTTTAATTAAAACTTATGCGCTAATAAGTTTTATTTATACAAGATTCCTCTGTCATATCACTTAGACCAGTTTTATAGTATCGATAAAGGTATATGAAGCATAATTTTTACGTTAAAAGCGACATGAAGAATACTTTAGGATACCTTACCGTAGCTGAGCGTTTATTCCATCTTACGATGAAGTTATTGAATTGATGTGAAGATAGAAGCGTGTATCTACCTATTTGCTTATCATAATTTTCAGTTTGTATTTATGTTAACTTAAAAATTCCAGACCTACGAGTACGACAGAGAGCAGCGTCAAAGGTCCGGGAAGTCTAGTACTACGATCGCCAAATCGCCGGACAACGTGGCGATTACGGTCTATTATGTGTATAGTCTACATTCGGCAGTGGATTCTAAGAGGCCAGTGAAAAAGGAGAAGACAATGAACTAAACCTAGATTGTTAAATCTAGTTACGTTGCTTGACGGCTTTTCTTGATAATTTTTTTTTGGAAAATGCATTTTATTAATTATTATTTAGAAAATTTATTTCAAAAATATTAGTGCAATACTGAATTTACGCTCATGCTAGCTGAGAGTAATTAAAACAACTGAGGATCATATTAAAATAACTTATAAACGATTTTGATTTTCTGAGACCAAACACAGCAGTTAATTTTGGGTACGTAAGGCCCGGTTTACATTTTGAGAACTGACAAGTGCAAGTGGCAAGTGAGAAGTGGCAAGTGAGTAGTGAAAAGTGCGTATTTTATTCCCACTTATCACTTGTCACTACCTGTTCACACGCACTAAGCACTTGTCCTTTGTCAGTTGCACTTGCCACTCGCACTGGTCACTTCTCAAAATGTAAATGGGGCCCAAGCATAAGCTGCGTTCAAGCATATATCTCAAAGAAAGCCCTTAAAAGCTTTGAACTAAATAACAATTTTTTTTAAATATTTTAGTAATTATATATAAGAAACCTATATTCGCGGTAAACATGTAGCGAAATAAAAAAAACAAAATACACTGAAAATATTACCTTAATATTAATTTCGCAAATGTAATTTGAAAAAAGAAATTCTTATTGCAATAAAATGAAATGGTGGTTACATAGCGAAAAGTTGTTCCATATAATGTTACAAGACGTACCTAGTAATGTCATCTTTGAAGCTGAAAAAGAAATCGTAAATTTTTTAAATATTATTTAGATTTTTGGCGGAGTGATATACAATCTATCTGTATAGTGGTGGCCATAGAATACCCACTACCCCATATAATCACGTGGGTGGGGGAAACTGAAACGGGGATGGGCAGCAGCATTTCCTGGTAACAACTGAAAATAATGAAAAACTGCGGTTGCCAACTCCACCCTCCTATGAGGAAGGATCTATGAGGGAGGCCTATGATCAAGAATGGACATTGAGGTCCAGGGTTCGCACCCGGGTTGGGCCAAAATCAATTACTGGGTTTTAACGAATTCTCAGTAGCAGCCCGGAGTCAGGTAGTTGGTGGTGTTTCACCCTGTCTCAGAAAACACGTAAAGCCGTTGGATTACCGAACCATCGGAATATGAGTAAAGGAATAGAGAGTGCACCTTTGTTTGTGCATACACTCGGGCATTATACTCCCGTCCTGTACAGATAGCTAGTCTCGGTTGAGACTGGCCGCCGTGACCGAAATTCGGTGTGGAGGACGTTATCAATGATAATAGGCCCTTTTTACTACAAACGAGGCATTCCATCTCAATCCTCAGCGCTGGCAACGCATCTATATTTGATTCTTAATTGAAGATAAATGTAAATGTCTATGGGCCACAGCATCCACTTACCATCAAGTGGACTGTGTGCTCGTTTGTCACCCTTATTTTATAAAAAATATATATACAACCTAACCTTAATTATATTAACATTATCTGTCTTATTACAAAGAGTAGTTTATTGATAGTCTCGCTATATACTATAGCATCTAAATTAAGAAGTTACGTAGCCTCGGCGCCAGTCTTAGCGAAATTTGACATTATCTGTCAAATTTTGATACATTTTAGTTCGAATTTTCTGCGGGACTTGTTTCGTGTAACAAATTTTAGTTTAAACTGAAGACTAATTATAAGCTTTTTTTGGTAATAAAGCCCATCTACGTCGTTAGAAAATATAGATCTTTTCAAAGGAAGCTAAGTCTGTCTCACAATAATTATTCAAAGAAGAGAAAATAACAGATTAAGTGTAGAAAGTAGAAAATTACACACAAAATTTAATAAAAAAATTTAACAAAGTATTTTTTTTTTTTTTTTTTTTTTTTTATAGAAGAGGGGGCAAACGAGCATGTGGCTCACCTGATGTTAAGTGACTACCGCCGCCCATGATCAACTGCAACACCAGGGGAATTGCAGACGCGTTGCCGGCCCTTTAGAAAGGAGTAAGCTCTTTTCTTGAAGGTCCCCAGGTCGTATCGGTCCGGAAAAATCGCTGGTGGTAAATTATTCCACAGAGAGGTTGTACGCGGAAGAAAACTCCTTTTGAAACGTACAGTGGTGGACCGCCAAGCATCCAGATGGTGTGGATGGTATCGGGACGTTTGCCGCGTAGTGCGTTCACGAAATTTGGCGGCTGGGATTAATCCGAACAATTCCTCAGAGCACTCTCCATGGTATATGCGAAAGAAAATGCAAAGGGATGCAACATCTCTTCGCAATGCCAGAGAATCGAGCCGATCGGAAAGCACTCGGTCGTCGACGATTCGAGCCGCTCTGCGCTGGATGTGGTCAAGTGGAAGGAGCTGGTACTGGGGAGCCCCAGCCCAGAGATGGGAACAGTATTCCATGTGCGGCCGAACCTGCGCCTTGTAAAGTTGCAGGCGGTGTGCCGGCATGAAATACTGTCCCGCTCTGCTGAGCACGCCAAGCTTTTTAGAGGCCAATTTGGCCTTCCCTTCCAAGTGACCACGAAACTGCACGTCACTCGATATGTCGACGCCGAGGATTCCGATACTGGCTGAGGCAACAAGGGGAGTGCCTTGAAACTGAGGGGATACGACAAAGGGGTTCTTTTTAGCGGTTAACGCGCAAACTTGTATCTTCTGGGGGTTAAACTGGACTAGATTTAGTCGCCCCCAATCCGAGACTCTGTCCAGCAGAGACTCGACTTCAGACACAAGTTTGTCCCGGCACTCGGAGACGTTTTCCCGAGAAATATTGGCTCGGCCGGTGTAAAGAGCATCACCAGTGCTGTCATCTGCATAGCAATGAATGTTACGGGTCTGCAACATATCATTGATATGCAGAAGAAACAGCGTTGGCGATAGCACGCAGCCCTGTGGAACACCAGCATTAATAGGCTTGCAATCGGAGCTTGCACCGTCTACAACGACCTTGATGCTCCGATCTGCAAGAAAACTGGTGATCCAATCGCACAATTTCTCGGGAAGCCCATAGGAAGGGAGCTTCGAAAGAAGCGCTTTGTGCCAAACCCGATCGAAGGCCTTCGCAATGTCCAAACTAACGGCCAATGCCTCCCCCCTTGGACTCTACTGCCTCCGCCCATCTGTGAGTCAGGTAGACCAGAAGATCACCAGCTGACCTACCACGGCGAAAACCGTATTGGCGGTCACTAATCAGCTGGTGATCCTCAAGGTACCTCATGAGCTGGCAGTTTACAATGGACTCCATTGTTTTGGAGAACAAGGAGGTGATGGCGATGGGCCGGTAGTTGGACGGGTCTGAGCGGTCGCCTTTTTTAGGGATCGGGTGGACGAAAGCCGTCTTCCATGATTTTGGGACTACGCCTAGGGAGTAGGAGTACCGGAAAAAAACGCGTTAAAACCGGTTCCAACTCTGGAGCACACGTCCTCAGCACAATTGGGGGGATTCCGTCAGGCCCACTCGACTTGTGGATGTCCAGGGAGAGGAGTGCTTTGCGAACCGAGCGCTGAGTGAACTGCACTTCCGGCATGGAGCACTCACACCGCGGGATGGTCGGCGGCGTACTCCCCCCGTCATCGAGAGTCGAGTTAGACGCAAAGAAAGAGCCTAGAAGATCGGCTTTCTCCTTTGCGGTGTGGGCCAGTGAGTCGTCCTCCCTGTGCAGAGATGGAAGAGATGGCTGACAGAAATTCCCCTGGACAGCCTTGGCGAGAGACCAGAATGTACGGGTTCCAGAAGGAAGACGAACTAGTTTCTCGCCAATTCTGCCTATGTGCTCTGACTTTGCCTTGGCAATGACTCTTTTGAAGGACCTAGAGGCGGAATTATACTTCTTTTTTAGAGCGCTGGTGTTTACATCCCTGGACGCTGATGCGTCAGCCCAGGCCTGGTAGCACTCCTGCTTATAGCATGATGCTATTTTACAAGAGCGACCAAACCATGGCTGAGATTTGCCTCCAATGGGCACCACAGAGGAAGGAATAAAAAGTTCCATACCCTGAAGTACCACATCAGCGACAGAATCCGCAACAACGTTGGGATCGTCCGGCGAGAAGCAAACCCGCCCCCAAGGGTAGGATGCAAAGAAAGACCGCATCCCATCCCAATCGGCTGACCTATAGTGCCAAACACGGCGGCAGCCTGCAGAATGCAACCGCGATTTCAGCGTGAGTGGCACCACACTCCGGACAAGACAATGGTCCGAGGAGCCTAAAGGGGCGTCGACGGAAATCTGATATCCGTCCGGGTGAGAGGTCAGCAGAAGGTCCAACAGGGAAGGTGCATGATCCTCCACATCTGGAATCCGCGTAGGCGAAGTAACCAGTTGTGTCAGACCATATGACAAGGCAAAATCATGAACAGATCTCCCCGCATGATCGGTTAAACGTGAACCGAGCCATTCGGCGTGATGGGCGTTAAAGTCGCCGAGGATCACGATCTCTGCGGAGGGGATCTGCTGTAGCAACGAATCTGCAGCCATTTGGACGTGGTCGAAGAGTCGGTCTGTTTCGGCATTACCGCTGTGGGACCTATAGAGGCACCCGTAGATGCGCGGATGGTCGTCGCTGTCTACGCGTAGCCAAAGGATGGACAGGTCCGAACCTTCAAGTCTGCCGAGGCGTCGAGAACAGATGTCCTCTCTGACGTAAACGCAAACTCCAGCCCGAGGCACAAATGAGTGTTCCAGTTTGTACCCCGGGTAGGAGAGATACGAGACATCAGCCGGAGAGGACACCTGCGTCTCGGTCAGAAAGAGCAGAGCCGGCCTCGCCGTCTCGAGATGGTAGTGGACGGCGTTTAGGTTGGAGTGAAGTCCCCTGATATTGCAGAAATTCACGGACAGCGTGGCAGGGGTCGCCTTGGTCTTGTTGCTCCGTTTGCCCCGAGCAGTTTTAGTCTTGAGCGGAATTTTGCCCCCCCCCCCCAGAATACGCGGGGCAGCCTGAGCACCCACGCTCAGAAGTGGAAAAACATGGTCGTGGATGCTCAGCGAGGGATTCTCCAGGGGTGCTGGTACCCTCCTGGGGTAGTCTATCATTGAATTCCGCTACCATGTTGATGGGGGGGGATTTGGGCCTCCGGCCACCTGCACTCACCAGACGAAACGCGGAAGCAGAGCTTCCACTTCACGCCGGTATTCTGTGAGGTCGTGGTACCACCCCCGGTTTGAGCCGGCCCATACGTGCGACAGCAAAGCTGCCGCGTGGCTCTACCACTGTTAATTAGAAATGTTAATTTCTAACCTAATTAAAGTATAACCCCGTAATTTGTTTAAAATAAAAAAATATAAAATAAGTAAAAGAAAGTCGTTTAAAGTTTAGAAAAATGTCGTTAGTTAATCTTTCAGAAAGATAAATAGAAACGCAATTGAAATTTGGTTGATAATAATTCTTAAACGTACTTCTCCATTTTGCGTTCAATTTGGATAAGGTTTCCGAGGCGGTTTAGCATGTCCATGATTTCTTCTGGTTCATACTGGCCTTCCTCGCGGTAGTTGTTGTTGGGACTGAAATACAAATAGTCTATATTAATACAAGTTATAAAAAAGGTTACATTTACTGCTATGATTATAATTTTAGAAATTAAATTGATGTCATTGTGACTTCTCTAAAGCCTAATCCAAAGTTGACTTAATCTTTTTGAGATGTCGTTTGCAAAACTCATTTTGTTATTGTTATCTACATTATTTAGTTATCTACGTAATAAAACCTCTTCAAATTTGCCTCCGATTATTGGTCAAGAAAACTTTTTAAGGATGTGCCCACGGGGACATAAAGGCCACACTGTTGTACCACTGCTACAAAGGTTCGGAATAATTTCCCGGATGTTGTTTTAGGGGGAAGGGGGATCTTTTCTTAGCTACCCTTATGACTAACCGTAAAGTCGTTATACCATATAATATATAATAATATCTATCTATCTATAATAACAATATATAAGTTCCTGTGCATTGTGTAACATGGCGACTTTCCGCTTTCCTTTTCGCAACACTATTATTTACGCTATGTTAAAGAATAGTAACAACTACCTGGGGTAAGAAGTAGCGGGAACAATGAGGAGCAGGGCTCCAAGGAGGCAGCAAGTAAGCAGGCAGCTGGGTCGCACCATTCTGTAACAAAATGAGACATATTTTTAATCCCAATCCTTAACTCGGCTTTACAAATCGTGTTAAAATGGCAGCTAGTTATTGACATGTGACCGAAATCATTTTAACACTGTAGGGATATTAGTATTCTTGGTAAGATATCGGATATTAGATATCATATTTCAGATATCATCGGACTTATTCTTTAAAAAAAAACTACCACTCTAATGATCTCTACCCATTTATTGTTAACATACCACGCATTCGAAAAAATGGGTTTCTTCGTCGTTCATAATACGGACAGTAAAGTTGTAAAGTCATTTGTCAGCATCTGTTTTGCTATCCGATTTTAATATGGGTGTATTTAAGACAAGAGTAAATAGGCTAAGCTTAGGCTAAGTCAATGGTCTTTACTATGTTGATAAAATTTAAGTTTCTGTTAATGTAATGATTGCCCTTTATTGGGCTGAGAAGGTTATTTGCATGATATGAAGAGTTTAATAAACATTTCTAATTTTTTTTTCTGAGTGTCTGTCTGTCTGCCTTTCTGTCCGAACTTAATCTACGGAAAGACTAAAGATTGTAATGTAACTAGACGAACATTTCTGAAGAGTAATGCCATGCGAGCCAGAACCAAAAGATTTTTTGAGGAATCGAAAAATTTATAAAATGAATGATCTTTGATTATTATCTTAACTCTAAATAATGCCACCTTAGACCAAGCAAAGCCAGGACGGAACGCTATCATATATGTATTATTATATAGTCAGGCTTAAACAAAGATCCTTTCAAAATTTTCTTAATCCACAGTTTCAACTTGAAACTGTCAATACACTAAGTTTTGTTATAACACTGCATACGGTTTAAGGAAAACAATGTGAGGAAATTTGCAACCTGAGAACAGTGAGAAAAGTGATTTGCACTCTTTGGCTTTTTCCTTAAACTCCTCAGAAATGAGAGGAGGCCTATGCCTAGAAGTGGGACGTAAAAAGGCTGTTAATTTCAATAGATAGAACAAATATTTCGGGACAAGTATTAAAATTAAAAATTTAGTTCAACCGACTTCAATATAAATAAAACGAAAACATCATCAAGGTATTCGAAGTCAATTAAATTCGCGTTATTAAGAACAACTCAAAAACTACTAATCAGATCTTGATCAAATTCATATGCAACATCACGAGAAGCACCAGCTTTCAAATAAAAAATAATCATCAAAATAGGTACATTTAGAAAAAAGTTCTGAGGTAGCACGCATGAAAAAACGTACATTCGAATTGAGTACCTTCTCCTTTTTAAGTCGGTTAAAAAACGTACTCTTATCAAGCCATATCACAGATGACCAACCAAGCGCGTTGTTGACAAAATCCCCGCGATCACTAATTGGAGTTCTGATTGGATGCCAACGATCGATTATGAAGTAATCAATGACCCAAATTTGACATTTGGACCGTCGCAAGAAAACAAAATATTTTTTAATATAAAGTAATAAAAGTGAAAAACGTGATCGAGCCAAACCATACGTAGTGAAACATGATACAGCTGCAATTTGGATGGATTTTCTACCATAGATTAGACACCAAAGACTCCATTACAACCTATTAAATTCCACTACTGTACATTAGCCTCTCTTATAGATTGCCTTATAGAGGCGATATGTGCCATAGTTGCCACTTTGTAAGCAATGAATGTATTTATTTTAAGTCGTTTTAGAAGAGGCTGCTGCACATCTCCTGATTTGTCTCCCACTGTCGCCTCTTACGACATCCACGGGACGATATCGAGTGGTAGATATTCTCCAATAATGGTAATTCCGTCAATACAAATATATTCGCGGTACATCTGTTGTTTTTTTTAAATACGTGACAAACGAACTCTAAGTCTACCTGATGGTAAGCCGCTACTGAAGCCCATGGACACTTGCAATCAACTTCAGACGAAGAAGCTACAGCTGCTTGGTCACATTTGCGAACTAAAATGGATTGCCTCACAATTTGTAAATGTATTATCTCTACATTTGCAGACCGGAAAAAGTTAAATAAAAAAACTGACTTTGAAGCATTAAAATTAATATAATCGAAATTGATTGACGTCCATCCGCCCACAATATGTCGTGATGCTTTTAGCAAAATAAAGAGTTTGAAGATTTTCTATAACAAAATTTCGATTCAATCATCAGATCTAGACCAAATTTAAATAAGCCCAGGTCGTTTACTACTAAAATAAGAATTCTTTACATCGTAATAACATGGCAAAGAATTATTGAACAACGTGCTTGAAAAATGTTCAGACTAATTGAGAAACTCCTGGAGTCTTCGGTTCTCTTTTCTTATAAACACGTATTAGAGCCATGCTTAGGCTATATATTATGCTTGCAGCATGAATGGATAAGCTCGACCAGGGTAGGGCCACGCTCTCACAGAGTACAAGCGTAAAATAACTGCTGTGTTTCTTATGGTGAGTGTAGAGAACCGAAGATATATATATATACTGTATCTTAGTATATCCTATCCTAAGATACAGTATAAAGGTATAATAATAGTAATATATCCTATCCTATATCTTAGTCTTCAGGGGTGACAGATAACGCGTTTACATTTTGATCCTTAGTTGAAGATAAATGTGGATATCTATGGGCCACAACATTCACAACCATCAGGTGGACTGTGTGCTCGTTTGTATTCCTATTCTATAAGAAAAACAGAAATGTTGCAGCATTATGCTGATATTTTATGCTGGGATTCTGTGCAAGTGTCGTCTCTGTAGGTGAATGGAGCCATTCGTTATGCGGCCATAATATGCTGCAGCATGACTCTACCAAGTAAAATAGAAGAGTAGAGATGGAGAATATTAGTCTTTTTCTAGAAATAAATGTTTACCTCATGATTGTCACGGCCGTAAATACGGAGGCGATGTTACACTGAAAAAGTGTGAAGCACCCTAGGTCCTACAATTTTATCTGTCATACGCGAGTTACAGACAAATGATAATCGGCACCAGTATGCAGCACGTATCAAGTGTTAGGGCTGATGAGCGCTGCATACTGGCGCTGATTGGTGGACCTTGATATATTTGTGTGCGTTTATCTCCGGTATGACAATCGGAATTGTAGGACTTATGGTGCTCATACACTTTAAGTGTTAAATTATAGTGACCTCATTCTTTTAAAACGCAAGCTACTTTAAGCACAAACGAAACTCCATCAAAGGAATGTTTATCCTAAATATGCCTTGTTAGTTAAATAGCGCTTTGTAAATTATTTTGATGTGAAATTATTTTAATACTTGACCTAGAGAGAATATCGCAATGTTATGTAAATTTTATAGAGGCATATATTAATATAAATAAAGGAATAAAGTTAGAGGGTTTTGTGCGAAATTAACTGTTATACGAGATAAATTGCAGATAACCTGGAGTAAACAATTCAGAATAAGCTCTATTGTTCTGTATTCTCCTGATACTCAAATAAGAATAAACCTACATAGATTAAATATCTAATTTGAGCATATTAAGTGTGGGCGAGTAATATATTCCATTGACGCCTATAATGGATGATTGAAAATAAGATCTCTTTTTTTTTCATAAAATTTGATTTTACAAACGAACTTGCTGTCTTCCTGAGGGTAGTAGTTTCTGCAATCAATGGATTCAGCCTTCAAACAAAAAGTCTATAACTTTGCCACCTCTGTGGACTAAGATGGAATACCTCACAGTCTGTAATTATACTAGCTCCCCATGTCTTTCAGATCTGATACATCAGTGCTAGCATTGCCCTGTGAGCCGTGGTAGCTCATAGGCTAAACGCCTGCTGTAAATTTCACGATAGTACAACCCGGGTTCGATCCCTGCCGGCACCAATGAAACTGTTAATTATAAATCAGTGAATTCACAGTTCAACCGCGACCTATCAGCCTATCATCGAATTGGCTCGTGAATGTTAAATACTCGATATTAGAGTATTGGTACATGCTTATGATACATACGCGGAAACATAAACAATACAACGGCTACGCAACGTCACGCCTTGTTATGAAATTAAAAAAAAAACGTTATTCTATATACTAGGATTTACTCCTGCATCGTTGAGATCGTTTACCGACATAAATTTCAGACGGACAAACATTCTGTGGCGTAACAATTATTTGTAGGCCATTCAAATACTTAAGCAGAATCCGAACCTGCAGCCGTTAGTGCCGTAACTCAATTCTAAACCACTTCGCCACGGAGCCGTCAAAATTAAAACTAAACTTACCTTTAGTAAACTATATATTATATAGCATATAATTTATATGGTATGTGCAATGCGCCCCGCACCATATACCATATTGTGGTGATTGATATCTTTAAACTATAGTTTAAGAAATTAAAATAATAAACAAAACCAACTTATCACAACCTTTAAGTATTTATGGGTTTCCTCACTTATTTAATAAGGTCCTTCTTGTCAAATTATCATTTTATCAAAACAAAACACGATATATACAACCTTATAATAAATAAACCATTAATTTATGGACTTATTATTCAACAACAGGAAAATGTCACCTAGAATGTTCAAAATGGAGATGACGGATGCTGCCATCTCGATAATCCAGTGATTTCGATCAAAATCGTTATCCGTGTTCTGAAGGCAAAATTAGGTCAGATTTGTTGTTGGTATAGATTATTAGAAGACGTTACTCATGTAGTTGGTGTACAACGCACTTAAATTACAACGTAAAAATTCAAATAAACCTTTTAGCCGACTTAAAAAAAAGAGGTGACAATTCGAATGTATGCTTTCTATTTATATGTTTGTTACGCGATATCTTCGTCAACTGTGAGCCAATTTTTCTAGTTACTTTTTTATTAAATAACCGTATGACCATATTACCCTCACGTACTATATTTCTTACATAGTTTCATCATAAATACCAATAGGTTTTACTAAAAAACCTATATCACGCACATTGTTACGTAGGAAAGCGTTTACAGTAGGGTCGTTACGGTTCGTACTTGGCACGTGAGTCCTACGCTCTTTTAGGGCTTTGTGCCCGGAGCACTTGGCGAGTGTAGGAATAGTTAGAGATTTTACGTCGCTTGCGGGCTATTTGGAGTATAGTGTGGAAAGTTTGACACCCGTTGAAATTTAGTGTAAACTTATAAGTCAGCAATATACTGAATTACGTTGAAGCTAACAATTTATCTTAGTAAAATTGTTCCGGATAGTAAATTGTTATGTTATATTTAATATACTGGATGATTTTTTACCGTCTGGAAGAAAATAGGGTGTACAGTATAGCACTGAAATTTTACATCGTTGGGTGCGTATTACATATTTTAATTTCCATAGTTTTTAATTGATTTACTTATTTAGTTCAAAATTTTTGTTTTTATTTTTTTAGTACCAAAAGTTTATTTCAAAGTAGTAATATTTATAGATAGATCGATTTTATAATATGTTAATATTTTTTTCAATAGTTATTCGATTTATCGATTCGATATCGATTTTATAATATGCTAAAAATCGATTCCGTTCGTTCTATTCCGTTCACCTGTTTTTTTTCAGACGGTAAAAAAGTCACTAGTGTAATTAGCAATTATTAACTTGAGTCTGTTATCATTAAAGTGTAAAACAATTTTTTAAGAGGATAAATTATCTGACTCGGTGTAACTAGTGTCCAATCAGTCCGGGTATCGATAATAGTATAATATAGATCTGAGACGTGGTCCTTGATTGCTGGCCGTATAAGTAAACTAAAGATCACTTACTGAGCTAAAGGGAGAGCTATGCTCAATGTATATCGTGGTAGAATTCATGATAACGAGAGTATTTTCAGTGGAAATAGAGAAGCCGAAATAAGCCAACGTATCAGTAAGCTGAAGTGGCAATGGGCTGGCCGTTTTTAGTTTAGTTTTTTAGTTTTTTTTTTTAAAAAACGTTACCCCTACACTACGATTTTCTCTTGTATTGTGGGGGCAGTTTACAAACATAAATTACACAAGGACGAACATCCAGACCCGGAACAACTACTTGTAGGCCATACAAATACTTGTTCCGTGCGGGATTCGAACCCGCAACCCCCAGCGCCGCCACTCATTGCTAAGCCACTGCGCCACGGAGTCGTGGCCGTGTAGGTCAAAGAATGGAGAACAAATAGGAAAGAACGATTTTAGAGTGGCAGCCCTGTATTGGTAATCGAAGTGAAGAGTGGCAGTTAGATGGAGGGATGATCAAAGCAAAGTTAAGGGTGTCATCCGCTAGATGGAGTGCCGAGAGGAAGTCGATGGATGCACGTGGTTCAGGACTTAACTTTGAGACGTTCCTTTGGGGAGGTCCTGTGATGCGCTATTATGATGATGACGATGAATGCAAACACAAAATTCACTATTGCGTAATTCCAGCCTAAATTAACCTACATTACAAGTAAGATTTTTCTTGACCTTAAAAGTATGAAACGGTTTGTACATAAGGCTATTAACCAATTTTCACATTTATTGAACAAAAACTAATCATTAGAGACATTTCGAAAAATATCATCATTAAAGTTTTCAAATTACTAATTGAAGCGAACCGATGTGTTAGCTAGAATTATTTTTTTAACAATAGTTGCTTTGAAACAGGCCAATATTATATCGGTCAGCGTAGTTGTTCAATAGAAGAGTGGGAAAAAATAGGTTTGTATTTAACTAGACGAATATAAAAGCGTCGTTAAACAAGGAAGTTGCCGTCGTAAATAATAATATACAAACATTTAAGCATTAATGTCAAAGACAATTGTTTGTTTAGAGTTCCTAGTTTTTATTTAGAAAGTAATTTGACGTGTCGTTAGCGCAGTCGCTGCAGAACTTCAGGGTCACAGGTTTGAATTTCCCACGGAACAATTAGTGTTTGTATGGCCAATAAATAATTGTGCCGGGTATAGATGTTAGTTTTTGTGCAATTAAAATACCTCTACAAAAAAAGTTAACTCGAACTCTCTGTAAATGTAACTCTTATATATGTGCCCCTAAAAATTAACTTTCAACAAGTAATAAAATTTAAAAAAAATTGTTTAACCGACTTCAATAAAATGAGCACATTATCAATGTATTCGAAGTCAATTAAATAGATATTATTAAGGATAACTCAAAAACTACTGGTCAGATCTTGACCAAATTTATATGGGACCACAGGAAAAGCACCAGCTTTCAAATAAACTCAGGTTCACTCAGAAAAAAGTTCTGCGGTACACACACATAAAACATCACACAGTCGAATTGAGTACCTTCCCCTTTTTGGAAGTTGGTTAATAAATAGTAAAAAGCCTTAAGGGCATTCAATACTTCTATACACTGTCTTTATCAGTTTGAAATCGTCTGTTATTTTATATTCAAAGTTTTTTTTACCTATTATTAAAAAAAAGAATCTAGAAAGTCCGTTTACAGTTGACAATTGACAAAACATGCAGTGAAATTTTAAGCCTCTTCCTTTTTTAAATTGGTAAAAAATTTAAAAAACCCAAAACGTTCATGTCAAATATCTTCCCCATTAGAAACAAATGGGAAGTTTATGAAACTATTTTTTTATACAATGGCATATGTAACTAAACTGGTGAACTTTGTACTAATGGTTATGTGGAAAATAGGGTGTTATGTTACCCCGCGTTTCAAGGCAGCTGTCGCGACTAATGGATTCTTTTCATGTTTACTACACCCAGTTTAAAACTGATGTATGTACCTCCAGATTGTTACATGTATTTATGTTATATGTATCCACAGATACCGGTGCCTTGACAAAGGTAGAGTATTACTAGACGTTGTAGGTATATATGTATAGTATACGTGATTTTTCATATAAGTAATAAAAACATAAGTATACTTTTATAGACATAATGGTGCCACAAAACACAGATGTAGATGCTA